GGAGCAGGCGGGAGTCTTTGCTCAGCGGCCGCCCATCCTTCAGCCAGGTGTAGGTGGGCTTGGTGCCGTTCTCGTGCGAGCAGTTGAGGGTGAAGAACTCGCTGAGCTCCAGCACCGTCGAGGAGGCCACCAGCACTTGGGGCTTCGAGATGGGGACTGTGGGCGAGCAGGGGAGCCAGGGTGACACCACATCTTGGGGGGGATGGATGGAACCAGGGGATGGGAAGGGGTGCATCAAATCCCCAACTGGAGACATCAAATCCCAACCGGGAACATCAAAACCCCAATTAGGGTCATCAAAACCCCAAGTGGAGATGTCAAAACCCAAATGGAGACATCAGAACCCCAACTGGGGACATCAAAACCCCAATTAGGGTCATCAAAACCCCATCTGGCGTCATCAGAACTCCAACGGGGCCCATGGGTTGGTTCCATGAGGTAGTTGAACCCCCAAAATCACCGCCTGGGTGGAGAAAACCCTCCAAAAAAGCGGTCGAGGACCCCATGGAGAACCCAAGCTCCGTTGGCCGTCCTTCTTGCACTTACTGTCCACGGTGAGGTTGATGGTCTTCTCGCCAGTGAAGGTGTCGTCGGTGATGGACACCTCCACCTCGTAGGTCCCTTCATCGGCCAACTGCAAGGGACTGATGAGCAAGGAGCCGTTCTCCAGCACCCAGATGCGGTCGCGGTAATCTGGCCGGAGGTTGCCGATGATCTCAGTGCCGATGGACTGGACGACGGTGATGGGTTTGTCCCGTTTCAAACCACCGGCTTGTCGGCACTGGCGCTGGCGTAACGCACTGACAGCAACGCCGCTTTCCCCGCTGTGCCGCGCACCAGTGCTGCGGGGCTGGTGATGTTCACCCCCGCCAGCAGACCTTGGGGTGGGGAGAGACAATGTCGGGGTGGGGAGAGACAATGTCAAGGTCGGGCAGGGCAATGGGTCGGCCAAACCCAGAGAAAAATGGAGGACCCCCTCCTGGAGGTGGGCTGGGCGCCCCCAAAATGGTTCAGCCACGGTGGGATGTCCAACCAATGTGCAAGGGGGGGGCGTGGACGTTTGCAAAATTTGCAAAATGCATGCATCAGCCCCAGAATTGCATCGGGGTGGGAGCACTTCTGCAGACAGGTTGATGCAAACAGTTGCAAAACGCACCCCCAACATTGCATCAGGGTGGGGCTTCTGCAGATGGGCTGAGGCAATGCTTTCCAAAATGCATGCATCACCCCAAAAACTGCACCAGGGGGTGGGAGCAATCCTGAACCCGGCTCAATGCTCCTGCACACAGGTTGGTGCAAAAATGCAAAAAATTTGCAAAATGCAAAATTTTGCAAAATGCATGCATCACCCCCAAAACCTGCGGGTGTCGGGGGG